CCAGTTATGAAAAAAACTGCAATAACTTTTTTTTTTTATTTCTTGAATAGCGCCTGCGGTATTTAGACCTGCGTTAGCAACACAGCATAAAAATTCTTCATCACTTGCCAAAAATAGGGAAAAGTCCAGTGCAACACTGCCAGGTACTTGTCCCACAAAACAAGACAAACCAGGGCCACAGGTTGTGAGGAGCCCGGTGTGTGCTCCCACAGATGGTGCTGGACGTTTCCATGAAGCAGGAGGTATATTTAGTTTGATTTAAAACAAGCCTAAAAATATTTTGGTCAGCCGCACCAATTACACACCCTAGAAGCAGGGAGCCTTGGAAAAAAAACTCATTTCTTTCACAGAGTGAGGACCTCAGATCTCATATCTGTTCAGGTCCACAATATTAATACTATAAATGTGTCGTCTGTGAGACGACATTACTGCTCTTTCCAAAGGATTTTACAAGACCTTTAAGAGCACCTATATTTTAACATTGGAATATCAACTGCTGTTATCAATAGGTTTGAACTCATTAAAATTATTTTCCTCACTGGACACGTGCCATGCAGAAATTACATTTCTTTTGCTTTTTTTATTAAACTTTTGTTAAACAAAAATGTACAATTTTTTTTCCTTAATGAGATCTTAGCCACTTTTTTACAAGGACTCTGAATCAAAACAAACATTTAACTTGTCATTTTGAGCAATTTTATTTGCTTATGCTCCCTGCTGGGCTGGAAACATGCTTTGTGCTTGCTTTCCATCAGGTATCCCAACAGTTTATCAGGTAGCACAGCATAATACAAATATTATAGTTACAGATTAGCTGTTCCCTGCTGCCGTTCACTTTGTGGTTTAGAACCCTTGTCGTTTACAAATCAAAATGTTTATGCACTCAATTATAACACTTCCAAGTGAGAATAAAGGGTATTCCATTACTCCCAGAAGGATTGTGGAAACATTTGTTTGCAAAGTACTGCGGTACTCCAAATTCCCTCCGTTTCATGTTTCTCCGTTTCTCGCTGCAGCAGAACAGCTAACATTTATAAAAAGGGTTGTGGGACGCACACTAGGGGTGAGCTCTGTAATTCACAGAGGGCCTTTCTCCAAGTTAAAAAATTGCTACAAGTTTGCTGGAAATTGTCTCTAGAATTTTTGACACCCACAACCACCAACACAGAAAACTGCCTCCTCTTGCTAAGCCACAAATACCACACAGAAAACATCCTGAGATGCACGTTTTACCTGGGTGAAGGTAAAAAATAGGAAAATATCCTCAGGTGCACATTTTACCTGGGGGAAAGATCAAGAAAACCAGCAAAACTAGTTGCAGAGGAAAACCAGGACAAACAATATGAGTGCTCTGAGTACGGAGCTGAACCTTCCCAAAGACCACATTATTACCATGTAAACACACATGCACGTATGCTGGGAAAGGGAATTAGGAGGTTTCCCCACAGTGGCCAGAAGATGAGCCATAATATCAGCCTATCTAGATCATTTTGCCCCAAAGATACAGGCTGAGGAGAGTGTGCTCAGTAGATTAATCCTAACGTACTGTCAACATCCCCAACACCGCCAGCCTCAGGTGCCTAAAAAGTGCTGTGTCTGCTCCTGGTCCAGTGCACATTCTTGGGTGATGGAACACGGGCTCATTCTGGATTTTCATCAGCTAAAATAGAGTAATTAATCTTAATTCTCTTCTCCCTGAAAAATAGAACTTCTGTAGCTCGAGGAAAACAAAGAGCTATCAGTTGTTCTGTGGCAAATTAATCTTAAAGGGGGAATCTTCCAAAGAAAATCAATAGCTTATAACAAGATTCTGTATTGTGTTTGAGCCCTGAAACTCAAACAAAAATCAAAGGGTACTTTCGGCATTGTGGGTTTAATACAATGTCATCATTTGAAAAAGTGAGAGTTTCACATGTAAGTAATTTTAGTTATGGGTGGCTTCACCTTCATGGAAGATCCTCATAATATTTAATACAGACTGCAAGATTACATGTCTTTCAGGCAACTTTAAATAAATTATTCTCAAAAGAAGGAATTTAATAGGGAATTATAGTTTATATCCTGCATGCAATATTCTATATGTAAGACATCTTTATTCATTTGTACCTTTCTAAATTAGTCTGTTCCATATGAGATGTCTCTTTACATGGTCAATCTTTTTTTTTAAAAAAAAAAAAAAACCTAATGAATATAACCATGGTGCCATGGAAACAGCTTTAAAATTAATTTGGGTGCAGACAACTCTAACACAGAAAAAGTGACAGGTTTCAGAACAAAACAAAAAATAGCCCGTTTTCATGCAGCACAGGGATCTTTGAGAAACAATAATGAAAAGCGAGGGAAGAGGATCTTTTCAAACTGTAGCAAAGCACAGATCTCTCTGGCATATTCCCCAGAACAGTTCATTACCAAACTGAGACGTCCTAACATTGAGGTGGAATGGGACAGAGGAATCCAGACCTGCAGGAATGGGAAACTTGGAACAAAAACCACTTAAATAACTGGTAAATAATGGCAGAGTTCTCAGACAAGTCCTTTATTGCAAAGACAGTGCAATATGGGGTGAGAGATCATTTATAGAACAGCAAAGAACTACTCTAATTTCTAATTAGCTCAAGCCTGTTAACTCCTTCCCACTAATACGTACTTGACTGCCTGAAGCCCCATGTGAGCTTTACACAGAGCGATGTGTCTCTCTTTGACATCAGGACAGGTCTCCCTCAGAGCCAGGACGCTGTTAACTGCCAAGGGCCACGTTTTGGTTTGTTAGATAAACTAAATTAATCGAATTCATTGTTATTGTGGGACTTGGTACAGAAGGAATTCTAGTCCAAAGCATATTTCATCACTTATTTCCTTGGTAATTCACAAGTTAGTTTGGCTGTCAGAGTGAACGGTTGTACGTAAAAAGAAAAATATGTTACTAAGCCTAAAAATTTCAGTCCCCAGAACCATGATGGTCTCAAAGTTCAGTAGTACCACAAAGTGGTGACTAATGAGCTTATAACTTTCATGTGCTGTGGAGTAAATGCTGTCATTAATTCTTTACAAGACCTTTAGAAAACATACTGCGTTCATCCTGCTTCCTAGCTGTCAGAATTAGCAGATGACTCCGTTGGCTACTTTGACATTTTTACTTTTTTGCTCCAGTTTGGTTTGTTTGCTTGCCTTAAAAACTGCCTACTGTGTGAATTGTAAAAAGGTCAAGCAATAGTTCCCAATCCAGACAGGGCAAAAGTAATTGAAACGAATGCACGATAGCAGTAATTTTGACCCTTACCTTATTTTTTTGGCCTGTGAACTGTTAGCTGTAACAAGTAAAGCTGTGTGCCAAAGATCTTCTAATCTTACTAATGCAAATATTCTCTTTCCTTTCAGTTTCCACTACCGCTTTTTACAGCAGCACCCAAGCAATAAAGTAGCACTGCTGAGGGATTTGGGGGGGAAGGGGAAAGAGGACAGGACAATGCTTCACAGCTTTTTATATTAGGAAATCTCGTTAGACCTGATTCTGAGTAATTTACTTATAAGGAGAATACATTTTGCAATAAGGTCAGAGTGTAAGAAATAGAACTGTCTGAATACTCCCAGGGTTTGGACACATCATTTGTTTCTCAGCTTATCATAGACTGGAATAACAACGGTGTAGGTTACACAAATTCGGATGCTGTTATAAGTCATCTCACTAGCAGTACACGTGGTGGTGGATGTACATAGATTTGGATGGCAAAGAAAGGCTTTGTCTTTGAAACTTGGTTGTGCACTGCAGATCATGTAGCGAAGTCATTCTTGTAGAAAAATCCTTGCAATTGTATTTTGCTACTGAAGGAACAGACGTTTCGTTCATCCAAAGGACAAAGCCATCAGTGCAGGCACTAACTCCCACTGCAGTATTTTTTGGGGTGGGAGTTTCCTGATTATAAACACAAAAAGCACACTATGATGCAATTTCCTTACTAGCAGAATGAGAATTTGGCCTTTTCTAAAGTTAAAGAGTAGCAGACATAGATCAAGTTAATACTGATCTTGTTCACCATGTGTGTAAGTCCAGAAATCTCAGCGGACAGCCGTTAGATTTATGCCAGCACATGGAAGACACACCTGATTTTTTAAATACAAACGTCAGAGTGCTGCAATTCTGAAAATGCCAGAACAATGACCTTTCTCAGTTTTCAGATGTCAATTAGAAAAGTAAGTTATCTTTAGGCTAAATAAAGCTAACTACCCTTTCAAATTCTTGCAAGTACTTAACTGCCTCATGAGTTCATTAATGTTGTTCATCTTTCTTTTAAAAAAGTGAGGCTACAAATTGCGATATCAATGGTAACAGCGTCTAGTGATCCCAGACAAATTAAATACCATTGTTATTGGCAGGGCATTTACGTATACAGGGAGAGAGATGAACAGTGCCTTCATAATTTAAAAGTTCCAGCAAATCATAAAACTAAAAAGCAGAAGGAAAGCTGTAGGAGCTAAGGAGAATCCAGTTAACAATCATACAGCAAGTGCCTAACTGTAGGAGCTTTTGTAATGGAGTTTGTAAGATCTCGGGCCAACAAATATTAGTATTTTGAATTCTGCAAGTGCTTATTTAAACAGTTCTATATCCTTTTCCCATATGTTTATTCAAATATTTCAACCCCTGACTCCTCTGTGTTTGGCCTGAGGCTGAAAAGTACGGATTACTCGATGCCCATGGCAAGTGCTGTTGCAGCAGGGAAATGATGTCAACCCCTGCAGTGCAATTCATAACTTGATGTGGGTAAATTCACTTACTGGCAATTTAGAAGAAAACATGCTGGTGCTGTGCCAGTTGGAGCCAGATGGTGACTGAAATTATTAAAATCGTGTGTGCTGCAAACCTCTGAAAAATTGCAAAATATCCTAAGCATAGATGGGATCCTAATAAAAACCAATTGGTGTACAGAGAGTATTTGCAAACAGTGCATGGTATGATGTGCCACTGTTTAATTGCAATCTTTCCCTTCCCTGTTTTTTAGGTTCAACTAATCCACTATAACCATGAGCTGTACACAAATGTCACAGAAGCCGCAAAGAGTCCTAACGGGTTGGTGGTAGTTTCCATATTTATGAAAGTAAGTATTCAGTGTTATCAATACCCAATACATAGACAATGGACTTCTTTTCCCCTGAGTTGTAAATCTAGGAATTGGACTCATCACTGTACTGTAGCAATGGCTCTGATCTGCAATCCTGAGACAGCGCCATCATAGGACTGAACACGGGATCCCTACTCCCAGGCATTTACAATGTAATGGAAAATGAACAGGGATGAAAAAAAAGTATTTTTACCATAAACTTCACTCATAACACTACAATGGCTATGACAAAAGCTACTAATTTTGCAGATTTGGTATTTCTTCAAGAAATGTTATTCATTCGATTAAAAGTAAATTTTTCCTAGTAGGTTGAGTCCCTGGGAAAGGGGGGATATTTGTTTCTTGGAGACATGCTGATGTTTCAAAGTAAACTAAGTTTTTCTCTCAGTGTTAAGAACATCTTAAACTATCAAAACTGAAGAACGTTAAAAGTATATCTTTTAATATCTTCCATTTGACAGAGCTAGAAGAACACGTGAATATTTTGTCTTAATTTAGTCTCCATCCTGTTGCATTCGAGATGCCGAAGTTAGATCTATAAATTGCACCGATCTAGCACTGAACTCAATAGTTTACCCAAACCTCCCAAATTACACTGGAGAAATCTTTTCTTTCTTTTCATATGAAGAATGCATTTCCCTCGTAATGTTGTTCATATTGTACCATTATTTGTCTCTGTTCATCGGTCTAAAAAGGCATATATTTCTGAGTAAGTGCTTCATACCGAAATAGAAAGCTTTCATCATCAGACCTTACATACCAGATACTTATTAATTCCCTTTAGTACTCTCTAATCCCATTTCATAAGGTAAAGTTCCTGACAAAGCATTAACCTCAGAATTAAAATACGCATTTCACAGAGCATATTGAATAATTAGATATGAAAATTGCCCTTTTATACAGGTCTAATATTTGAGAAAGTTATTCAAGTTACCTTTTTTCATGCAAAATGTATTGTATTATGACCCAACAATCTGACTTGAATTTGCATGAAAGGATAAAATTGAAGCAAGCCTTGCAAAAGCCCAGCGTGTCAATTTTGTCTAAATAATGCATCGCGTGTGTACTTGCTGAGCTGCACACCTCTTGCAATTTTAGCAAAATTTTAGTATCTGCCTCACCACATTTTTCTCTAGGCCTTGCTCACTGGCATGAGATGTGTTCTATTTTAAATGCCCAAAGTAGTTAGAAAAACTTGTAAGTAAAGTAGTTACTGAATTTCCACAAAACCAAACTTGAGCTGAATTTTCCTGAAGGCTACTTGTCCAACAGAGCTGGATTACAGTTTGTCCAATAGCCCAGTTTTTCCCCTACATCTTAATTACAATTTTGGGGAAATTTTCCATTTTTAAAATAAATTGATTTCATTCTGGATAAATGCTAGACGTACAACAGCAGCATCCAGTGTCTGATGAAAAGAAAAAACCACATTCCATGCCAACTGAAAGATGGGCATGATATTAGAAAGCTAACTACAGAGTTACTAAAATTAATCCATTTAAGAGGAATACTGGTTTTTCTGCCAATAACAATTTTGCCCTTTGGATGGAATAAAACCTCTCAAGAAATTATCGTTGATAATCCACGAGGATATTGTTGATGAGGTACATACACCCTCCACACACACCCCAAAAAACCCGACACAAGAACGATGCCTCTAAGCCCTCTACCATTTTTCTCCTAGACCCTCTTGAGGTACGCCTGCGCTGATGCAGACTGAGCATGTTACGTGTACGTACACACGTGTGTCTACATAGATGTGAGTGTGGGGGTGTGAAACTTAAGGCATTTCATCCTTGTACATAAAACAAAGGGAAGACAGATTCTATTTGTAATCTAAATAGTCTGCTGCAAGGAAAGTATACTTCTCAATACATAGAAAAAAATAATAGAGTGCTGCATGGAAATCCTCCCTAATTACATTAACTACCTGCAAATCCCATCAAAGCTGTTGGAGAAGAAACCTGAACTCTTACCTGTGGTCAGGCGTTCATTTTATTCATCCTATTCTCCCATCCACGGTGTTTGGATTTATTTTTAGATACCAACTTTCTAACTATTTTTTTAAAAGAATATCGAAGTAACTATTTCATCTTCCCACAACAATAAAAGGCAGAAACAATTCGGAGGAGTTGCAGGAGAGAGAGAATGAGTGTGTGGGCACACACAGCAGCTACACCTCCACAAAGGAAAGGTTTGTGAGAAGATTTTGACATTGTACATTTTCTCTTCTGTAGGTATCTGAATCCTCAAATCCATTTCTAAATCGTATGCTTAACAGAGACACCATAACGAGAATAACATATAAAAGTAAGTTTCTTTTGATTTACTATGGCTAACAGCTGTTTGCTTTCAGGATCAAACAACGTCTTTAGCAATCCACTGAAACTTCCTTCTGGGCAAAAATTACAAAGTTTGCGTTGCCAGCAACTCTGCATGATAAACTTGGGAACTTCACAGATCTAGTGAGGTCATCAGTTCACCAAATGAATTTTGAACTTCAAAAGCTATTTTATGTTTCAACAAGCAATACATTAATGAAATTATACTGAACAAATACATATACTGTATTCACACAGAGTACTCAGGAGAAACTGCCTACTGTTAGCGATAAAAGTCACATGCAGAGCAGCCTGGATTATACCAAATCAAGTTATGTCAAGATGCTGCAACGGTAACTGTGGATTTAGTATTCATTAATGCTTTCTTTTGGAACAGAACAGTTGTCACATTTCTATTCAACTACTGCTACATTTAATATAAAGAGGTTATTAACAGAGCATATATATTAACGCTCAATAATTCCATATTCGTATATTGAACTTGTGGAACACTGGAGCTTAAATGCTAGTGAAAATTAGGGTAGGTTCAGAGGAAGTAATGAAAAATACATATATCTCAATGGAACAAATTAAATCGCTTCTCCTGAAAACCTTACCCCCTTTGTCAAATATTCTCTTGAATTTCAAGCAGCCATTAACATATTAAATTAAACAATACCATAATTTAGCTTTCAAAAATAACAGAGCAAACTGAGAAAATAAGGGAAGAACTGTAAAACTCAGCCTTCATTTGTTATTCTGTAAGCAATGAATTTTTCATAAACTTTGTATTTTGCTTTTATTTATGAAATCTGGGAGAGAGTTGTTCATGATGAGATTGGTTGAGAGGACTCCAGAATTTGGTTCACAATTCTACTAGGGTTTACCTCAGTTTACCACTCTAAATTAAGTATATTGTACTAAATATTCTACAACAACTTGGTGTTTCTCGGAAAATTTTGCATCTGAAACTCCAGAGATCTCCAACATGCATGCATTAAACTTCAACAAGAGTTACTGAACTTCAGGTTTATGATGGAAAATTGGAAAGTTTTTTATACGCATCCCTAAAGTATAGTCTGATATCTTTCCATAGACTCTATCCATCCTTTCCACCTCCCTGCAAAGCCAGGGTTGTAAAAATAAATAAATAAATAAATAAATTTTAATGGCTAATTGCCAAACAAGAAAGCACTAGAAAGATTCTGAGTCTTGCCATACAACACAGAATTTGAACAACAGAGCCAATCCAACCCGATTCTGAAGCAGACAGTTCCTAGTCCTCTCCTACAGCACACACTTTTCTTCACACTGACGCTTCTCTTGTTTTACCCTACAGTTAATGAATTTTGTTACGTTTTGGGGGCCTAAAAAGAGGTCTCTATTATGATAAAACTCTATCCTCCATAATGGCTATAGAAAGGAAGGCGACAGAGGGTTCCCCTCAGAATGTTTTTTCCAAATTCTTCTATCGGTATGAAATATCTCCTCTGCGTAGAAGCAGCAGAGGATTAGCCCCTTTTTTTATCATGAAATTTCACACTAAGATAAACACATACCATATGCTGCAAAATCAATGATTAACAGAACTGTTTTAATTTTCAACCGCTATTATCACTAACAAGTTTATCTGTTAAAATGAAATCCTTGATATAACACACATAAGATTTTGCAGGACACTGGGATTTCTTACTGTAGTAACAAGTATTGACTGGGAATTTTTTCGTGTAAATTGGGAACGTGAAAGCGTTATTGAAAGTAATTTTGCAGTTGTCTTGCGTGATGGATTATAGCATCATTGCTGAAAACTAATTTTACCTCTTACATTGCAAGGATTTCTATTCTGCCTCTAGCAGCTGGAGTTATTTAGCTTGTGCTTTAGGGGTCCACTCCTGAAGTCAATACTCAGCAGGCTCCTGACAAAATGACCAGTCCCAGCGTGCTCAACAGGAGCGTGGAGCGAATGATAAGTGGTGCAGAGGTTTGGTGTCAGGACAGTTAGAAACGTAACAAAAGTACTCTTCTGAAAGAACAGCAACTGAATTAAGAGCTATGCTGCGGCATGAAATTTCCATGGGCAAAACACATTAAAAGGAGAATGTCTGCTCCTAGATATTAATGGCTACACTGAAGTCAAGTGGACCCCAAGGAATTTTTAAAGTGGATTCTAAAGGCTTATTTTATTCCATTATCACAAGCCAAAGAATCTACTGTACACTAGTTGAAACAAGTGTTCTTTCAAACAAGCTTTAGTCAGAACCTATGTGAATATCTCTGAAGAAAAACTGCTTTGATATTCCTCTTTAATTACGACATTTGGGGGGATGAGTTAGCTTTCTTTCAGAACAGTTACACGACTTTAGCCTTCACTCAAAATTCAATAGGAAAATTTGGGCTTGTCATTGCCCACCAAATACTGCTATATGTTCAGATAGGCAGAAGTGCTGCAAAATTATGAGTTTCCTCAAATTCAACCTTTAGCTATATTATAGATAACGTGACCAAAGAAGGCCTATGGCATCCTAGGGGGTGCCTCAAGAAGAGCAGCAAGCAGGTCCAGGGAGGTCATCCTGCCCCTCTGCTCTGCCCTGGTGAGGCCACATCTGGAGTGCTGGGTCCACGTCTGAGCTCCCTGCTTCCAGAAGGACAGATGAAACTGCTGGAGAGGGTACCGCAAAGGGCTACAAAGATGATTAGGGGACTAGAACACCTCTCTTATGAAGAAAGGCTGAGGGAGTTGGGGATTTTCAGTTTGGAGAAGAGAAGACTGACAGGGGTTCTTATCAATGCTTATAAATAAATACTTAAAGAAGTGATGTCAGGAGGATGGGGCCAGCCTTTTTTTTCAGTGGTGGCCAGGGAAAGGACAAGAGGGAAGAGGCACAAACTTGAACCTAGTCCCATTTAAACATGAGGAGGAACTTTGAAGGTGGCAGAGCCCTGAACAGGCTGGCCAGGGAGGTCTGAGAAATGTTCAGAACCTGCCTGGACACCATCCTGTGCAGCCTGCTCGGACTAAATGATCTCCAGAGGACTCTGCCAACCCCTAACATTCTGGGATTCTGTGAGGTGAACAAAGTATTGTGATTTTAAGAGACTATCCTGAAAAAGTTTCAAGATTCAGACTTCTGGAAACAAGAGACTATTCGTTTCTGAAGGTTTGTGTTTCAGCGCATTCTCTGAAGGACTGAGCTCGTGCAGCTGCTGTCACGAGCAGTAAAATCTCAGGAGTCTCAAATCAGGCCCCAGGGAACCCTCAGGTATTCAAAATGAGTCTCTGTCAGCCTGGGTTTAAGTGACTTGCAAAGGCTGGTAAATGGAGAAACAGTTTCAGGATTAAAAAGCTGAGGATCTCTACATTCTTCACCCTGTAAATTCAATTCAGTGAGAAATGTACTTTCCCTTTAGTGGATTATATGATATGAACTTCCAAATCAAATGGATCTTCCTTCGTTCAGTAAATAAGATGTTCCCTATAAATACTGCTGCTTTAAAGAGAACATACATAGAGTTTTCTGTGAAGCAAACCTCACATCTAGCACAAATCTAGGGATAAAAGACTACTATTTCCACCATCTGCAAAGAAAATTTTCAGAGTCAAGGCCTTTATAAAAGTTAATATGAAATCTAATTTGTATAGAGGAGTTCATGAGCTCAGAAATCACCCTAAGGCACAAGCAAATCAAGATACACAGAATGTGGGCTGTAGATAGGAGTGATGCTGAGAATGCACTAAAGGCCAAATGGGTTTGTTAAAGGAAGTTTACTACTGGCAAGAGATCACACATGGTGATTCTGACCATTTTGAACTACAAACTTGCAATAAATATAAAACATTAAACTGTCGCTGTCTAGTGTTGGTGCAAATCCACTAGTTCTGTTTCAATTCTAGAATGGGAAACCTTTATCAAGGTGTGGGGAAAGCAGAGCTGTTCATGAGAAAAATGTTTATAATCAAATGCTTATTCAGTAGTCTTTTCCTGGGCCATTCTCTTGGAGACATGTGATTTCCTGTGGGAACATAACCCATATACAAGCATGAATAAATACTGCTTTTGCTTGGCCAAACTATTTTATTTCATTGTTTCATGCACTCCTATCTTCCCCTTTTCGTGAAGTCATATTTTCCTCCAGTTTCCCATTAACCACAACTGACAGATTTTGACATTTATCAGAATTCACTGTCTCTCCTTAAACACCCCAAGTGAAGACAGAGGCAACGAACCAGGTTTGTAATGGCTTCGCTGCTGGGGGAGAAGGTCACACATTTTGCAGGTGCTCAGTATGCAAACAAGGAAACCCGAGCAGGTGATCAGCAGCTCAGCAAGGCGAAGGAGAGCATCTCTCCTCAGCTTGAGAGCACTGGCATCTGTCAGGCTTGCCCGAACAAGCAGAACTGTACCCCACCCTGCTCCCACACTGTTACATGCCATATTCCACACCCTGGGAGTGTTGTTATGTTCTGAGAATGACTAAACACTGTAAATGCACAGACAGAAGCCCACATCGAAATAATGAATCGCATTCTCTATCAAAGCAATGTGAGGCAACTCCAGACCCCCATCGTTACCCCCACTAATACCAGCAATAAATGTGCTTCTGTATCTTCCATTTCATAAGTAGTGCTATTGTTAATAATGTGCCCTGTTCTGAACACAGATTAGTCGACTAGAATGTGGCACAGACAAAATATATATATGTATTATCCATATCCCTTGACTGTATTAACCTTCAGTTCGCTTTCCATCTCCTGGTAAACATATCAGGTCAAACTCTACTGTGTTTAAATCACGAGCCCAAGTGAAGTCAATGTGGATGTGAGAAAGCAGATTTGGTCCTCAGAGTCTGAAACTATCTATTCTGACGGACCCTGTGCCATTTGGAGCTAACACACCACTCTCCATGGATTATAATCTCATAAATAATGAACAGGATGTTCATGTGGGAAAGAGAGAAATGTGCAATGACTCACTGAAAAGAGGCACTAGCTTGAAAAAAATGCATTCGTTGTCATCTCATCTAGCTCTAGAAGAAGTGCCACTGCACCGCAAATAATATTTTTAATGAATAGGACACAGGTGTATTCAGTCATCTCTAGCTGTAAAAATTTAACAGCATTTTGAAATTAATACTATAGAAATGGTTTCATGCTTTTGAGGGGGTTTAGAAAGACTCTGTATCCCAGGCCACGGGCCAGCAAAGGCTGAACATGTTAGGAAAAGTGACAGTCAGCCACCTACACAACACTGCTAGTGCTTTCCCCTCTACTTGAGCGTCCAACTATACAGCATGACAATTACCCTGGCTTGAAACACAATAACATGTCAGAAGGCTGCATTTCTGACAAATTGGAAAGGATATGCTAAGATTATATTTTGTAAAATAATAAACATAGGTCAGATATGAAGTAGCTGTAACGCACTGGTCAGCGTAGTGTAAATGCTGCACTCTCATATTGACACTAACCAATCTGTAGCCACTAATATCACTACCCCACAAGCTTGTAGTCTGTTGGCTGTGCTATGTCAAAATAAAGAAAGGTCATATTTGCTGTGCCTTTGTACTTTAATTTTCTATTGCCCAAGACAGTACGCTGCAGCTTGTTTGCGTTGGGTTGGTTTTTTTCCACTATATAATATGAGACAACAAGCATTTTGCTCATCTAAGTTTTGTCCTTCAGCTATAATATGTTAAGTTCAAGTTAAATTACTCTTTTATTTTTTAGTTCTATTATGCTTCCTTGATGGTTCATATTTCTTTCCTTGGTTCCATTTACAATCTTTTCCCGATAGCCGAAAAAGATCAGAGAATCCAACAGAAATTCTAAATCACGTTGACTTCAAAGATGCACTTTCAACATTTTTTATTCTGAGCAGTATCTTCTTCTTTAGTTATACTGTCTTTCCTTGCCTTCCATTCAAATCAATGCCAGTTTGTCTTGTGTATTGAAAGGGCATTGTTCCTTGCCTGCATTTTAGCACTCACTCTGCTAATGAACCACACTGAACACCCTACATGCAAGTGAAAGCGTGCGAAGAGATTTCGTAACATTACGGCTCGTAACCAGCCCAGATTTCTCCAAGATACATGATAGCAGTAGTGTGTAAGAAGTGTGTACATCCATCCCTGAGTAGTTCCTATTAAGGAACTCCTACAGCCTAAGCTGTGGCAAGAAAATCTGAGCCCCAGTTTTGACAGCACTGCCAAAAATATCGTAGGGCCAGCAATACACAAGGGAAATAATGCACATAGTATAGAAAAGGCTGAGTTTTGAAAGGTATAACTATCTCTCATTATATTTTGGTGCATGTTCACAGAGTGAATTCTGTTGCAGAGGGATACCTCATTAATTCTCAGGGAGACCTATGATAAAAGCAGGGACCCTCGTAAACTGCTTTGGGTGTGCTTTTCCACCCCGATTTTAGTATTCCGAGTGAGCTGGCGCTGCACCTACCCCCACTGTGCACATGAAAGGCCAGCAAGCTTCATTGAGCAGCTTTATTATCATGCATTAACCTTAACTTCCTCCTCTGGTAGAAGGGCAATTAGATTTTAACCCTCTCAGCCTTCCCAAGGCTTTGTTGAGCAAAAACTGTTACTCACTCCAAAATATTGTAAGTCGGCATTCTGCAAAGACTGCTGCATCCAAATCAATAACTGCAACCTCAAGGAGCTTTTTAACTACAATTCTTAAATGTTACTCCAGAGTTTCACTGTGAATGCTTGCGCTAAACTCACAGGAGTGCGCATGGGCATCTAAGAGGAGAACTCAACCCAAGCAGGATTGCTGAGTTCCTGTTACTTGTTCTTGTCTCAGGTGACAATGATGTTCTAGAAGAAAGACTGTGCATAAGAAAGGTGGGATTTTTTTGGTGAAGATAGAATTCTAACTTCATTGTTTTCCTTCTTTATTCTCCAGATGATGCATACTTACTACAGGGGCTAAATATTGAGGAACTTTATCCAGAGACGTCTAGTTTCATTACATATGATGGGTCAATGACAATTCCCCCCTGCTATGAAACAGCAAACTGGATAATAATGAACAAACCCGTCTACATAACAAGGATGCAGGTAAAAAATAATTTTAAAAAATACTCTATCTAGTATATTTAAAAAAGAATATATTGCATGTATCTATTTGTCGCTTTACATACAAAATTAAATTCAACCTTTTGCTGTAGGGATCTCTGCCTGCAACTTATACAGTTTGGAAAAGCACTGAAGAGGTTTCTTTGCCGAAATAAAAATATCAACTATTCCAAGCTCCCTATGGTATCTATACACACACATATACTTTGAGATGGGTCCCATCTTCACTCTGGTTTTGAACCAAATGCTTTTCAGCAGTCTCTTCTAAACTTTATTACTCTATGACTAGAATAGATATGTGGGCATTCTAACAAAAGTATAGCAGTGTTGTACAGAAGTAAATGAGGTTATTAAGTATAACAGAGGCCGTTCTCGGGTGAGAAAGGAAGAGAAAAATTGCGAGTGACACTTGTGGCCGTTTAAGTAGATGGCACATTAATGTGACAGAGATCCATTCCATCAGGGCTTCTTGAAAAAAGTGAGCTAGTGCTTTTCATATAGAGTAAGACATCAGGATAGACATTGCAAATATCTCCAGAGAAAACAGATTGGCAAATTGAAGCCCCCATTAAAAATAAACAGGGTAAATTATGGAAAATAGAACATAATTAATTTCATAATCAAAATGAGTGAAAAAGTCATAAAGACTATATTTCTGTATGACTTGCTTACAATCCAAGGCCTAACATCAGAAAACAACAAATTTAATACCAAGTGCAGTCTTCTCAAGAGCTTCCATGAGCGAGTTGCCTATGGAGCTGTGAGCTGAACTAAAATCTATTCTCTTGCATACTAGAATCCCGAAGGAATACTTGAATCACCATCTGCCTGTCCCAAGCATGCAGCAGAAGCAATCTGGCTTGAGAAATGAGATGAGGAGTGACAAAACAACCCTAAACATTACTTTGGGATTTAAAATCATATTAACATTGTAAATAGGATGGCTCTTAAAAGCCTGAGAGATGTTTTATCTTTGTGATATTCCTTCTGTCCAGTTTCGTCTAGATGCAGAGAAAGCACTTTGTTTCTTTTCTGAATGGGCAGTTTGGGAGAACAACACAGCCCAGCACAGGCAAACATGCAGGGGACTTCAACATTCTCCTAGACGCAACTTTTTCAGTTCAGCATTACATCCAAAACAAGGATTAGAATACTTCTAGAGTCTGTGCTAGGACCTATGGATTATAATCTCACGATACGTACTCCTTGTCATGCTTTACTGGTTAGTTACATCTCTGTGATTAGTGCTGCAAATTGACTTCATGGAATATTTACTAATTACACTGTGTACTCAGGCTGGAAAAGTAGTGCACAGCTCAGGCTTTCCTTGGAAGCTGTTAAAGGTTTTCAGTGTGTTAAACTCAGCTAACTAGACTTCCCCATTTAAGCATTAAATGCCACAACCAAATCTCTTGAATTGTACGCTGACATGGAAAACGTTTTCTTTTTACATTTTTAAACCAAAATATTTTCAGGGTTTCCAGTTTACAACTGCAGGTTTTTTCATTCCCCCCTCCCTTCAGTTCCCTCTACAATGTCTGAGAGGTTTTGGTTGACTTGAACCAATTACCATGCTTTTAGCACACTGAAAATCCTGAGTGATTTAGTAATTCCCTCTCTGCTGATCCGTAAAACCATCTCAGAGTCTACCACAGGAATAGTACAGACACAGAACAGACAGGATCGAGACAGACCTGTTAACAGGGAGAGGATTTCACTTTTTAGCATCATTAATTTCATTACTCCAGCAGCATGATTGTCAGTTATCCTTTCCATCCTGACTGGCCATACCTGATTCTTGAGCACCATCATCCAAAACTCTTGTCTTCTCAACTGGAAGCTACAGAAATAGCTACAAATCTTCGGAAATTAGCTCTTGTTATTCATCAAGTGCATTTTCTCTGCACCGGCTGCTGCCACCCAGTACTATGGATTCCATTTGTTCCCTGATCAGCCAGGGACATCTCACATCATTTTCATTTACTCTCTGCTGAACTAGTTACTTTTGTTTAAAATGGGGCTCAGAAACAAAGGACCACAGAAGAATCGATTTTACGTCATTAACTCTTTCAACCCACCTCCGACTGCCAGTCACTGAAATTGTTTAACTTAAGTAGTCTGTTTAATGGTGTTGCATGTTGTTTGCTTACAGAAAAGACCAGTACTAAAAATCCTTGTTTTGTATTTTGTATAGATGCATTCTTTACGACTGCTAAGCCAGAATCAGCCATCACAGATATTTCTGAGCATGAGCGACAATTTCAGACCAGTCCAGCCTCTCAACAATCGATGTATCCGAACTAATATCAACTTTAGTTTACAGGGAAAAGATTGTCCAAACAATAGAGCACAGAAACTACAGTATAGAGGTATGTTCTACCTCCAGAATAATTATTTCTATGCTTCCACTGAGCTCTTTTCTTTGAGAAATCCAAGTGCATAACAAAGCTTACGAATAAAAACAGATGAAACTCCAGATATGGGAGACGAACAGTGCGAGTCAAACATTGTGTACCTGAAACTTGCCCATGAACATGCAGGAAAAGCATGACAAAAAGCAGTCCAGGACAGATAGTGGTTTTTTTAAAAGCAGACAGGACAGGCCTTCAGATTTCTAGCCTCATTTTAAAGTCTTCTCACCTTACAAAGTGCACTTTAGCTCTCTTTTACCCACATTAGAAAAAGGGAGATGAGCTAATCTTGATGACAGCTGATCTTGAAGGAAAAAATTTCACTTTGGAGGTAGCACCACTATAACAAACACCCAGATTGGAAAGTCTTGTATTATATATTAAGCCAACACACCAACCCAGGCAGCTGCTGGAAGAGTCTCACACTGCCCGAGCTGGGGGCTCACTGCTGAGCTGGAACGGGGCTTTTGTGTCTCTTTGCCAATGCATGCACCGTTGTATTACCGGTCAGAACGGTGTGCAAGGGCCTTCTTACCAGTAAGATTATTGTTATGAAGGAATACTACTGAAGGGTGGAAAAGAAAATGCCTAATACAGTATTAAATCCAGCCAGTTTCGTATTTATTAAAGCATAATTGTTTTTGTTTTGTTTCTCTTTCCTTTCAGTAAATGAATGGCTCCTCAAGTAAGTAAGACAGAGCAGGCAGAACCCATAACCTCAATGGAATGCTCCTACTGTGAATTGACATAATCTAGAATGCGCCCAACCTCACTCTCTTTGGGTTCGCGACAGCACCCGCAAATGTGCTGTAGGAAATGAGCTGCCATGGTGGAAACTCAACTAAAAATTCATTCATATGATCTGTGGTAATTAAAAAAAAAAAAAAAGTAAAAAGACAGTATTACAGTAAATGTGATTACAATTTTGATACAGTTTTCCTGAACTAATTTAGCTTCACAAAGAAAGACTTTTCAGCCTTTGTACATATGAAATTCTTCCTCTTTTCCCCCCCTCCCTCAAATTGGAAAAAAAAAAAAAAAGGAAAAAAGAAAACAGGTGGCTCGGTACAGCATCAAAGTGGAGTTGTGTTCTGTGTGCCAAGTAATCCTTGGAAAGCTCTCATTATTTCACTGTCATTAATGGATACTGACAAGACAGAACAAGAAGATTGTAGAGGAAACTTATTTCTAGGTTATGATATTTCTGTTCATTTAATTAAAAAGGGACAGACTTTGAGAGATAAGTATTGTAAATATATCACTGCAGAATATAAAGGAAATGGAAATATTTCCCTCTTTGTCACATATCTGTAGTAGGATTTGCCAAAATCAGAATTGATCCATTTTCTGTTTCTTGTTTTACAACAGGTCATACGTTGTGTTGGTTACTATTAACAAACTCAATAAATGTGTTTAACAAATTAATTTAGTAAACTTGCTTTGATTTATTTTCCTTTCTGAAATAATAAGCCTCTACTACTTGTGGCTGCATTATTTGTGTTTTGTTTGGTGATTTTTTTTAATTTTCCAATTTATTTTTTTTACTTCATTTATTTGTTTGCAGCCAATGTAAGTGAGTTAACGGCAATTGGGAATGCACTTAAAGCTGGTGTAACTTAAACTCCACTCTTTGGTCCATCATTAATAGGAACTGGGCTCAGAAACAGAAAGTTGAAATATCTCTCAGTTTAAAATTGCCATTTTCCCCACTAAATCCATTCTTGGGGCAAACAAATTCAGTCCTGTAAATGGGTGATGGAAAGGGATCTCTCTTCTTTACAGAAAAAGCAGGAGCTGACCAAGTAAAAGCGAATGCCTTTTTTCTTGTTTATAATGGTCATTCACTGTGTTTGGTTACTGTCAAGAACTCAATAAATGTGTTTAACAAGTTCACATAGCGCACGTTTGACCTTCTTGCACATTAAGGGATTTATTTATTTTTTTCAAAATCTGAAGAGAGGGGACACCACACGCTATTTTGTTCCTAATGCTTGCTTTATAACCCATAACACGTTGAAATTCACAGAAAAATAAGACGAAGCTAAAAAGTACCGTGCCTGACCATGTTGCCGTAAGTGATCTGTAACTTCTAAACTTGTGGTGTTGGGATTGTTTCCACTGCTTGTTTGGGGTTTTTGATCCTTCTCCTAGGATTGTCAAGGTTGTAGAGTGAAGTTACTGAGAGCACAAAGTCCACAATGCTTCAAGCTGTATTTTTGGACAAATATCCAGCAGTTGTTGATGCAAGTTTGTCAGTGACAGAAGGTAGGGAAGATAAGCCAGGCCTCCATTATACAACTTTTAATAGGTAATAAAACCTATTTTCTGTTTTACTGAAAGCTGATTGAAGGGATTTAAGAGGAGGGAGACATATCATAGAAAGGACTGGATCTTTCTATCACAGGATTAGGTGAGGCTGCAACTAGAGAAATGGAGATATTGGGATACCACAAATATATTTGTCAACATTTCCCTGAGATAATACTTCAGCATCCTTCCTGCTTCTGACAGACCCTGCCTTTACTCTCCCTGTTTTGGTTTTCTGGGGGTTTCCCTGTCAAAATTATTAAGCAGCTTTGAGAAATGGGATAAAGGCTTAGCCCACAGAATACTGCCAAAAAATACAAGAGGTGGAAAGTCTCTGTACTAACTGTTGCTGCCATTAAAAGAAGAATAAATAACAATATGGAAAGAGCTGCTACATCTATTAATTGTCAAGACAAGCTGGAAAGCAAGATTCAATTGCACCCAGAAGGCCAACACCTGAAACCAAATAAAACCCCTCCAACACTTAAAGCATTCTTCATGATCTTTGACATTAAGGAGTTCTGTTTATTTTTCTCTTTTCCTTTTTAAACTGCTTAAGGTTAACAATACTGAAATTCCATCACAATCTGAAAAAAAATGCTGAAACATTCTTTAGCTACCATTTTCAGGAGCTGAACCTTCCCCACAAGTCAAGAACTGAAAGGGGAACTGTAACTGGTCAATATACTTTACTGCAAATACCAGAAATGCAGCAAAAAGGCAGATATTTTGCATGTTCTGCTGTATCTCTCAAAGCTTGAGTAATGCGCAGTATCCAAAAAAATCCCAGGTGTTTGGTTCCTATACTCAAAAGAGTACAAATTTTTCATGGAAATCAGTTATACCCGCTTCATGTTTTGATTTTTTTTTCTGTTAGATTTTATTCCCTAGATGTAGTGGCTGACAAAGCATAGGGAGTTTGCTGTAAGAAATGCTGATTTACTAGCAAATGGCTTACTGCAGTTCTCACAGCATACCGTAAAATTATTCAAGGAGCCTGTTTGCACAGTAAAGAACAAGAACCATTTATAATGTGAAACATAATGCAGGCAAACATTTTCTGTTTCCTATGGTGTCAGGCTTCTATTCTAATAACTAAAGATGTGTCAAACATATACTCAGAACAGAAAATGAAAAACGGGATAATAAATCTTCTAAGGATGGGAAATAACCCTTAGTATTTAAATAGAGAAAAAAAAATCCTTAGAAGAAGTATTAGAAAAAAATAGAAAGAAAAAAATTGACACAGGTTAAGAATTTAGCCAGATGCTCCTACCCTGTAAGGGAAAAAAGAGCTCGAGGTAAAAGTCCAAGTAGAACAAAGTTACAGCTGCAAAGCGCAATAGTTGCCCCAGAACAAAGGCTATGAACTTCAGCCTTGTGTAGCCATTCCCAGCACAAGGAGATACTCAACATCTGGCAAAGAGAGCTTATTCTCCAAAATATTCTGGTTTTTGCATCCAGGGCATATGTTCAAGTGCACAAGTATAATGTGTTTGGTTGATCAGGAGAAAACAAAGCTGAGTCATTGTTCCGAATGCCCTTCCTGATTCCTTGGCTACTGTTCTAGATGGGCTGTATTGGGTGATTTTGTGAACCTCTCTCTAGGGCTCTGCAAAGAAACTGCAGCCTGCCAGAAATACCTCGTGCTTTGCCTCGCTCACCGTCCTGCTGCACACCTGCGCTGCTCAGCGCGTCATCTATGCAAAGCTGGTGCCCGAAGGGAAAAGCAGACCTCACCTTCCTGCCGCAAAGACGGCAGGGCTGGCTGAGGAAAAGAGAGGGCAACGCAAGCACAAATCATGAAGGACGACTTAATTACGAGCCACTGGAAATATGATTGTTGCACCCTGGCTGCCCTGCGTCTGACGGGCTCTTAGAACACGCAGTGCCTCGTCTCCAAACTTCACCCAGGTTCCAGGATTCAGAACACTCCACATGTTTAGATGGTCCAAGGTTTATTCCTGCTATTTTTATTCCACCTTAGTGGTGTCTGTCCAGAGAAAATAAAAACGTACCGATTGACTGAGAAATTCAGCTCCATGTGCAAGTTTTGCATCAAAGGCTTGACTGAACACAGCACTTTTGCTAAGGGTTCTTTGGATGCCGTCACACAGTTTAAACTGAACAAAATCCTTCTTGCTAAAGGATTGTAAACTATACCTGGTAAAGGGGTGGGAATGTGTCAATCCAATGAGGAAACACCATATAAATATTCAAATATGTGATAAAAATCTTATGAAGGTATGTTAAGACAACATAGAAAGTCATAAGCATAACAGCAGAAAACAAAATTCAGGAGAATCACAAGGGGAAAAGATTGATCTTTTCGCTCTGTCCTGAATTTTTCCTTAATGTTACAGTAATATGGCAGCAAGCTGATTTCAGCTTGCTGCCTTATTTCACGCATAATTTAAAATTTGACAGCAACACAAATAACAGTGACATTCTCAGACATTCATGCCAAAGTTTTGCCATACTGGAGGACTCCTTCATTAAACATTTATTTGTATCTGTGTTCTGCGAGCTGCATAAAAATTTACAGAAATGGAATTCCATTGACAAACATTTCACCCAAATGCTGTCTGCATTCCTCCGACACAGATGGCGGTTGAAATGCTTGCATCAAAAACTAATTTGCTGAAGCTCTGCCATAACCTGTAGTTAGATGGATTGTTCTATATGGCTCTTCCTTAAAGGATGTGAGCCAGCTAAAACAAACATCTCCTTCTGAGATCTTAAATCTTCTAGCTCAAGTTACAGACCGATAGGACTTTGGCTCTTAGAAGTTGTGATGAATCCCAGCATAATCCAGAATACAAATGCTAAAGCAATTACAGAATAATTCCAGCCTTCAGGAATTGACTACTCCCTCATCTCTTACATATTACTTGTCTTACAAGTAGAGAGGACTTCTTCATCGGGAACATACTTTCCTGTAAGCACAGGAAAAGCCAGAGGACTTACTTGTTACCCCAGGTAAAATTTGTGTAGGGACTCGAAATGATCTGAACGGAAACATTAATGCAGCTCTGCCTTTTGGTGGGCTGATACAGATCAAAAAAGAAGAAAATAAAGCATGTGAAATTCACCCAATCTTCTAACAAACAGGTTATTTCTACTGAAGACTTAGCGTTCATCTGTGTCTCTGTTCTTTCATCCCACTGTGCCAGAGAGGCAGCGCATAATGGTTTCAGTGGCATTTTGGGTACAGTCCTTCAGCTCAGAGCCCGCCTGCCTCCTCCCTCCTCTGCATCATTCCTGCCCCGGCAGCCCTGCCAGCCCTTTCTTTTTTTAATGTATCTTTCACATTCTTCTGTTCCCGCATACACTTCACACATGGGCAGACAATCATTCCCAGGGCAGAGATGTATTTTCCTACCAAACATTTAGAGCCCTGTTTTCCCATCCTCTGTTTACCGAGTAATTAGCCCTACATTTAAAAATACAAATCCAAGCTGGGTAAAAGAGGTTGGCTCAAATCAGCCACAGCACCGTCTGGGTTTCCACTGCGCACGCAAACCACGGCCACCTTCACGCTCAGGACAAACTGCAATCTCCAGTCTCTGAGCAAGGATTGATACTGGTACGTGGTGAGACAGTGACCGGCACGTGGGATTGTGAGGCTTCTGGATGAGTTACGTTTCGCGGGAGGCTCATTTGCACACACCTTAGCCCAAGGGCTGCAAGCCTGAGAGCAACCAAGTCTCCATCAGCCTGGCTGCAGGGCTCACAGGAGCGCATCCAAAAGCTGAAATACGGACCCGTCGTTGTGATTCTCCATGTTCCTGCACCACCCATCAAGCAACACAGCCGAGATCATACCCGCTGCTGTCACCACAAGTAAGGATATAAGAAATGCCTTTTGCTTCCCAGCCTCTACACCTTGATACTGGTTTTCATCACAGAAATTTCAGTTATGTGCTCGATTAGAGAGCAGAATACTTAAGGGAGTTACTACCAGCCTTTCCTAGCGCCCACACCTAAAGCAGGTACTAGAAACAAGCAGATAAACTTGCCCTTCCTTGGCTCTGTCATAATATTTATAGACACATCTCAATTTTAGTTTCCAACACAGAAGGATTTCTGCAAAATTAGAGACTCCATACTGTATATTT